GCAATATCAGGATGAGTGAAGGTAAGATATTGCAAAGCACCGGCAAGGCTCCTGTAGAGAGTAGGGTCAGAGACAGGAGAACCATGGGGAGAGAGTTTAGATTTTGTGTCAGAGGGAGTGCTACAAGGATTGCAAGAGGACATGTCTGCATGAGACAGAATTTCCTTGGCAAACGAGGTTTGAGATAAGAACAAACCCTCATTAGTACGAGACGCAGCAATACCAAGAAAAAAGGAAAGAGAACCCAAATCGGACATAAGGAATTCAGAGGAGAGACGAGAGATAATGCTAGAGATGAGGGCATAGGAAGAAGCAGTGAGGATAATGTCATCAACATAGAGTAGAAGCAAGACATGATCAGAACCAGAGTGATATGTAAAGAGAGAGCAATCAGAACGACTGCTAGTGAAACCGAGAGATGTAATAAAAACAGCAAATCGCTGATACCAAGCACGGGGGGATTGTTTAAGACCATAAAGAGCTTTACGAAGACGACAAACATGATTAGGGAAAGTAGGATGAATGTAGCCAGGAGGTTGTTTCATGTAGACTTCTTCAGAGAGATCGCCATGAAGGAAGGCATTCTTGACATCCAACTGGTGTATGGGCCAATTTTTGGATATCGCAATGCTCAGAACAGTACAGATGGTAGCGGGTTTGACAACTGGGCTGAAGGTGTCATCAAAGTCAAGGCCAGGAAGTTGAGAGAATCCATGGGCGACTAAGCGACCTTTATAACGGTCAAGGTTACCCTTGCTGTCAAACTTGTGACGGTAGAGCCAGCGACAACCAACTATGTTGGCATGAGGGGGAGGGGGAACAAGCTCCCAAGTGTGGTTTGACTGAAGAGTAGTCATCTCAGAATCCATAGCAGATTTCCAATTAGGGTCACAAAGAGCCTGAGCAGTAGAACGAGGGATAGGAGAGATGTCCGAAGTGACAGACATGTTAAAAATCTGTTTGGGTCGAAGAGACCCAGTACGAGAGCGAGTGAGCATTGGATGAGATGGGGGAGGGGTGGGGTTAGGAGATGGGGATGGAGTAGTAGACGCTTCACTAGGGGAAGATTCAGGTGTGGGAGATACAGGAGAAGATGAGCCACTAGAAGAAGATCTAGTTGTGGAAGGAGTGACCGTGACCATAGGAGGAGAAGGAGTGAAGTCTTCAGATTAAAAAGAATCATAATCAGAATCAGAGGGCTTGTCATGAAAGTCACAATACGGGAAGTGGTCTTCGTAAAATGTGACATGACGAGAGATAATGACACGTTGAGATATGAGATCAAGACAACGATGTCCACGATGATCAGAGGAAGGTCCAAGATAGATACACGCAAAAGATCGGGGAGATAGTTTATGAGCAGCAGTAGCAGAGAGGTTCGGATAACATAGACATCCTAAGACACAAAGATGATCATAGGAGGGAAAATGACCAAAAAGAAGTTCAAAAGGAGTTTTAAACGAAAGAATGGTGGTAGGAAGAAGATTAAGGGTGTGAACAGCGGTGAGAAGGGCTTCAACCCAAAATTTTGGCGGAAGAGAGGCTTGAAACAGGAAAGTGCGAAGAATATTGTTTATAGTACGGATAGTACGTTCGGCCTTACCATTCTGTTGAGACGTATATGGACAAGAAAAGCGAATTTTAATGCCCGTGTTAGCAAAGAAAGTAAGTAAGGATTGGTTGTTGAATTCACGACCATTATCACATTGGAAAAGTTTGATGGTAGTTTTAAATTGATTTTGAACATATGCATGAAATTTAGAAAAAACATCAAACACTTCAGACTTAGCACGAAGAGGGAATACCCACAAAAAAATGAGTAAAATCATCCAAAAATAGAATATAGTATTTAAAACCACTCATACTAGAAACAGGAGATGTCCATAAATCAGAATGAACCAATTCAAACATATGAGTTGTTTTAGTAGTAGAAGATGAAAAAGGTAAACGACAGTGCTTCCCAATCTAACAAGCATGACAGGTGGGAAGCTTATTAGTAGTACTAGATATAAAGTTTCGAGAATGTAAAAAATCCAAAACAGAGGAGCCAGGATGACCAAGTCGTCTGTGCCAGGTAGGAAGAGAGACAGCAACACACACAATCGTAGAGAGAGAAGGAGTCGGCGATGGAACAATAGGGTAAAGGTCACCGACACTATCACATCTTTGAATGAATGCACCTGTTTTAAAGTCCTTCACAGTGAAACCAAAAGGGTCAAACGTGACAGAAACAGAGTTATCAATAGTGAATTGACGAACAGAAACAAGATTTTTAACAATTTTCTTTGAGATAAGGACATTATTTAAAGTTAAACGGTTGTGAGAATGCGGAAAGTAAGTTTGGCCAATATGAGTGACGGGGAGTATAGCACCATTACCAACCATGATAGATCTAGAAGTACAGGATGTTAAAGAAGACATGTTACCTGAGTTGAAAGACATGTGAGCGGTAGCACCGGAGTCCATGTAAGTGTTGTTGTCAGGAGGCGGTTGAATAGACATGGCTTGAAACACTGATGCTAGGTCTGTATATTGCTGGGGAGCCGACTGCACATGACCTCCAAACGAAACACCACCGGAGAAAGGAGGTTGCGGATAGGAAGTTGCACACTGCCCGGAGTTCTGCTGGAACTGTTGTTGAGAAGCATGTCCAAGACCAGCAGCGACTTGAAAGTGATTGGCTGCGTAAGGAGGTTGTTGAGTGTACGCCTGTTGTTGATGATAGGGTTGCTGGTGCATAGGGAGCGGAGAAACCATCTGCGGATAAGAGCTAAGAGGCACCTGTTGAGAAGGCGAGAATGGCAGCAGACCTGGAGGGGGCTGCTGATGCATGTTTACCTGCTGATGCGGACTCCCAGTGGCAGCAGCCGCGTGACCACGAGCAGCAAGAGGCTGAATTGGTGGTGCATTACCCAATATCCCAGCAAAAGTGGGCTGCGGTTCCATAGAGTTTCCATGAGAAATATTTTTTGAAGCATTTCTTGCATTGGGTCTGTTTTTGTTCCATCTATTTTTAGATTTTCCCGAGTGATGTGATGATGAAAAGAGAGCTGCACTTTGAGATACGGATGAGTAAAGTAGCGAATCGGAAGCCATCTCTCGAGACTCATGCAACAGGAGCATGTTTTTGGCCTCAAGGAATGAAGGAAAAGGCTTTGTGTTGGTGATGACATCTATAATACTGTGGTAGGATGGTGGTAGCTGTCGCAATACTTGCATAACTAACTCAATTTCTGTGATGTTGGAGTCGACATCTTTGAGGTCATCGGCTAGATTCTTGAGAGTGTGGCAAAACTCGGTAATAGAACTTGAGCCCTTTTTTGTATTACGAAACTGGTCCTGTAGTTGTAGCATCCGAGACATTTTGTTGTTCCGGAAGAATTCATCCAATCTATCCCATAGGTCTTTGGCGGTACATTCATCACTTGATATGATTTATAATAATCCGGGATCGCATGTACTATAAAACCACGACTTGATGGGTGCATCAACTGAAAACCATTCCTCATCCCAGAAAGATGACCATAAGAAAGAGTACCTCTGCACATGTTTGAAAAAATCTGGCGCCACAATTTATATCTCGAGCCATCAACAGTCAATTTAAAACTAAATTGATTGTATACATTTGTAAGGGTACAAACTAGACTTAGCTTGGAGGGAGTTGTGGTGGAGGAAGAGGCAGGAACTGTAGACATCTGGGAAATACAGGGCAGCAGAGAAGGTACAGCAGAGGAACAAGTAGAGAAGCAAAGTGGTGCACTGTCACAGGAGAGAACGGTGAAACAGCACCAAGAACAGGGACGCAAAGAAGAAGCATGCAGCAGAAAAAAAAAATGCCGTCGATGTCGTATTACGTGATTGGAGTGGGTAGAAAGAACCCTAGCTTGATACCATGTTGTTTAGGGTAAAAGCCTCACAGAATTGAAGGCTGTCGTGAGCAGAAAATACATTTTTTCTGGTAGTGGTAATTAATGACGGAACTGTTTGTCATCTAGTTGTCACAAAATCTGTTGTAAATCCATCATAAAAATTACCCACACGTTTTTTTACGGATATTTTTCTGTAATATTCAATCGAAAGCGACGTACAAGAAAAATATTCTAGGAGTAGCACATCGGAAAATTTGCACTATGCCAATTTTTTTTTTCAAAAAATACATTATGTCGGAAGTTTGAAGAATAGCACGTGCTACCCCGTGCTACATACTAGGTCTGTGGATGTCTGTCGGTAACGTTGTTTTCCTACCGAATAGATCATCGGAAATCACCCTGTTTCCTAGTAGCGATGAGAAAAGCTATTTTTAAGGCAAAATAGTCTTAACGAAAATAAATCATTAGAATTCACCATTCTAACTGTCGTTCTCGAGTTTACTCCATATATATCGTTAGGACGATATACTTCAATGGATAATAATAAATATTATATGTTTAAATGGAAATTATATAAACTTGGAAGGTTCATGGAAGGAGGAAGAAGGAAGAAGACACCAATGGAAGATGATGTATTTGGAGAATGTTTCCAAAAGACATGAGAACCTTACCTTCCCATGAAGCTTCCTACAAACCACATCGTTTTGGTTTTTGTCAATAACCAAAAGAAATATACATAATATAATTTAAAATAGCAGATTGAGACCATCTGTTTTAATTCTACATTGAATCTAAATATTTAATATAAAAAGTGTATTTTGTAATCGTTAAGTGCGACTTTAGTTTTTTTTTTTTTTTTTTTTTGTACAGATATAAACCACCGTTACTCTAAAAATAGTGCATATATATTTGCAAAATTCAAATTCTAGACAAACCTTTTAATTTTAATTTATTTTTGTATTTGAAAGAGTCGCAATAATTTGGGAATACAAACTTACGGTCAAAAACCAAATTTGCCTAGTTCCAACCCGATTGACAACTTGTCTTGTCATATCCATGCTTCACAAACATTGCTATAAAGAAGTCCATTAACTCTTCTAACTCCAACCCACCACCCAAAAAAAAAAACAAATGGAAGAAAGAGGGTACCAAGACTTACTTCCGGTGATGGCGGAGAAGCTAGACATAGCCACCTTCATGGAGGAGCTATGTGGCGGTTTTCGGTTGCTGGCGGACGAGAAGATAGGGCTGATATCACCGGAAAGTTTGAGAAAGAATTCAAGGTTTCTGGGAATGGAAGGTATGAGCAAGGAAGATGCAGAAGGTATGGTGATGGAAGGAGATCTTGATGGAGATGGGTTCTTGAATGAAACTGAGTTTTGCATACTGATGGTCAGACTTAGCCCAGAAATGATGGAAGATGCAGAGATGTGGCTTGAGAAGGCCATTGAAGATGAGATCAAGAAAGCCCCTGGACGTCCATCATCAGATAATGAAAATTTATGTTGAAATTGTTAGTGTTATTTATATATTTTAGTTGTAAAATAAGTATGCATGGTATGTATTATTTATTGTTAAGAGTGGCGTGTATTTCATCAAGCAGCTTTCTTGGAGTTTCAAGAAAGTTACATCCAATTAGTTGCAACATTTCTTGGCATAATGACATATACATAATACATTGTGTGGTTACTTACAAAGAATAGTTGAATTACGAGTGCATAAATATATGTTTAATAGTTGTTTTTTTGTTAGAACACATCTTCTTCTACATAAAAAACTATGGAAGGAATAACTCTTTTGTTAAATAAGACATTCCAATATAATCACTTTGAAACAATCAATTAATATATTAATATAAAACTAATATAAGAGTTCACCAATTTATGTCCGTGAATATAGGTGATACCGAACTAACCACATTAATTAATTATTTGTGTCTTTTTATTCTTTTTTTTTTTATTTCTTGCAAAACATCATATCTTTAGTGTACAATATATAAATTTATGGTTTTGTTAAAATAATAGAAACAAAATGGTTATTGAATCTTATAATTAATTATTAAGTTATAAAAATAAGTTGCTAATTTTAAATAAAATATTTATATTTAGACTGTTAATGTAAATTAACTAATAACTAGTAAACATGCATGTATGTGCTTCGCAACTGGTTTTATGTTTTTCTTTTACTAAATGAAATGCAAAATTTACATAACTTTGACTTTCTCTTTTTTAACCGAAACAATTTGGTTGGTTGTCATTACTACCCAAATTTCTACTTATAACTAATTATTAGAGTTATAAAAATAAATTGCTAATTTTAAATAAAATATTTATGCTTACACTGTTACTGTAAGTTAACTAATAACTAGTAAAGATGTATGTGCTCTGCAACGAGTTTGATGTTTTTTTTTTCTGCGTTGTTTAGGTTACTAATAGATGTGCAAGATTTACAGAACTTTGACTTTCTTTCGGCCGAAACAATTTGGTAGGTTGTCATTTCTGTCCAAATTCACCATTAATATGTACAGAAATTCATCAAAATAATGAGATACATGAGATATCCATATGAAGGTTACATGTAGAAAGCTCTGAAAAATGTTTATTGTGATGTCCGTGCTAAAACCTGACACAAATAATACGCAAAATCGTAGAGTATATAAATAACTACCTCTAGTCAACTCATTCGGGTTTCGATTAACCTACAATAATGCACTATTTCTAAGAAAATAATGGAATTGTTAATTGTAAACATTATAATCAAGTAAGCTTTTATATATATATATATATATATATATATATATATATATATATATATATATATATATATATATATCTTATACTATATTTTAAAGCATATTAGTCATATCTTGAATTTTAAGAGGTATAAGTTAGAAAGCTTTTTATACAAATCAATTATGCGTAAATAATTCATTAATACTTGTTAAAAGTATTACACCTCTAGTAAGTTTTATAACTTCCTCCGACACTTACATTATGTATACTTGCATAGTTTTTTTTATGGGTTATGAAATGAGGTTTATTGGGTTTTTTAATAAACACTTTCAGTCTTTCACTATAGTTTTCTGTATTAAATTTCAATATGGAGTCCTATAGGTAGTTGGTAAAATATTTTTATACACGATTTGTGCTGTAAAATTAAACTTATAAAACTCCATAAAAATATATATACAAATCCTAACATAAGGTCTAATACAATATGCAAGAAAATGGTAGAGAGATTTGATTGGATTTGGTTAAAACGATGTAGTTTTGATGGTTCTATACCTAATATTAAGTAAATAACAACCACATATTCTCTATGCCCATGTATATATATATATATATATATATATATATATATATATATATATATATATATATATATATATATATATCTATATATATATATATATATATATATATATATATACACTACTTTTTATATGTAGTTCTATTATGATCATGGTCACATGAAATGAAGACAGGGAAATAAACAAAACATAGGTTGCTTACTTGATTGAATAGCAACATTATGTAAATGAGATAGGCGTACGCCCACAGAGTTATGGGATCTTGAATCTTCTATACAATAGAAAAAGGGAATACAAAGTAGACTCATAAGTCGTTTACAATAGAGAGGCAGATCACCATATGTACAAAATAATATCAAGATTTGTATATAATCCAACTTGAATCTTCTGTACAATAGAAACAGGGACATCTACAAAATAGACTCATAAGTCATTTACAATAGGGCGGCAGATCACCAAATGTACAAAATAACATCAAGATTTGTATATAATCCAACTGTAACAAAAGGATAAAAAATCAGAATTTATATAAAAACTAGTGAAGAGGCCCGTACGTTACACGGATCGGATTTTTGGTGGGTCACGGAAGTAGGACACTATAATTGGTTGATGTTGGAAGTACGATACTTAAAAACAAAATAAAGTAAAAGTAGATGTATAAAAATATTTCGTTATATTTTAACAAACACTCAACTTATTATTTTGGCTACTATAATCATACATTTGTGCGCGCACGTGTGTGTGTGTGTATATATATATATATATATATATATATATATATTGTTGGATTAGTGTCTAAGCCCGTAACTATATTTGGTATGTACTTGACCCGGTTGTGCATGGTCCTTTTGGGTTGTCTTCACCAAAGCAACTTGACAGGATGATTTATAGAGAGAGAGAAGTTATTATGGTTTATTAATATATTATATGAATAATATATTAAAGGAGAAATCATATAGTTTAATTAATATTAGTCATGATTTAATTAAGAATTAATTTGGTGGCTAAAATAGATTAATTAAATAAAGGGGACTAAAATTGTCAATTGTATGATAGTTAGTTGTTGGGCTGAGAATCCTTATGGATTAGGGTATGGACGAAATTAAGATGGAGTCCATCATGAATTCGTCCAAGGAGGCCTTATTCCAGAAGGTTCCTTGGATTGCTTAAGGCCTAAGCTGTCCATTAGGGTCTTGACTGAAACCCTAGCAGCAAAAGTATAAATAGAACCCTAAGGGCATCAGATTTCGGCCACTGGAAACCCTAGAGAGTTAATAGCCGAAATTGTGCCTCCTTCCCTTCTCTCCAATATCATCCTCTTGCTTGTGGTGTTTGTAAGGCATTAGAGGTGTGACATTTGTGACACTAAGCTCCAAGAGTTGAAGATTCAAGCCATTCAATAAAGGTAATCATCTAGATCTGATCTATTAGGTTAATTTCGAAATATGTATGCTAGATCTAGGGTTCATAAGTCTTGGATGAATTGCATGTACAATACAGAAACCTAGATCCAAGCTTTAGGGTTTTGCATGTGCACATAGGATGTTCTTTTGCTCAAAACCCATCAGTGGTATCAGAGCCTTGCTTGGTTTCTATTGTATTTGATGCATTGCATGATTGCTTGAATTCGATTTTTTGGCCTTCTGTCTGACAAACTCGTCGAGTCCCAAAGAGGACTCGCCGAGTAGGATGAACTCGACGAGTCCAGTAAGGGACTCGGCGAGTCGAGCAGTTAGACAGAGGATATTTCGGGATTTTATGTCTATTTTGCTGTGAGATAATTACCAAAAGGTTTTTGATTGATAAAATATGAATTTTATTAATATTGTGTAATTATCCTTGCCAAAATAAAAGATAATGTCAAATTAATTGAATAATTATTTCTTTATATGATAAATGTTAATTATTTGAATTATTTGGTCAATTATCTTGCATAAATTTGGATTAAGTCAAAATTAGATAATTACCAAAATTAATTGTTTAATTATTTATTTAAATTTTGATCTAGATAGTTTTGAAATGTTTCAAAACTTGCCCTCAAGTTTTGGAATTTAAAATTTTGGATTAAAAGTTTAATTTCGAAATAATTAAATTCCAAACCCTAGAATTTTACAAGTTTAAAATTCACCCTATACTATTATAATATTATAAGAATAATTATTATATATGTATAACATAAATGCTAGTCTTACCGTTAGTAGGTCTCATTCACGAAGCCGATCTATAAGGGGGGGTATAAGGTTATGGCCTATAAAATGGCCGTTTAATGAGTGTCCACTCTCACCCACCGCTTTCTTGATTGGTGGAGGGTCATTAGCCGAACGGGTAGGATAGAGCAACCCTTTCCTCATTAAAAATATAATGACTTATAAAGTAACTAAATGTTTTACAAAATTCCCAATCTTAGTTACATTAGGCAAAATGTGAATTTGATGCTATTCCAAGAAATTACACTTTATACCCTTGCTAAGACGTTAGTGGAGCGTGTGTGGCTAACCGACACACTAATTTGGCTCTAAGCAAAGGTGGAAAAGGGTGACTCGATGTTTGACATAGATCGATGGAGCGTGTGTGGTTAACCGGCACATCGATTAGGTGACTGTAACATTGGGGGCACCATGTATATTTGCATGGTTATTCACACCCTGTTTGTGATCCTCGGTATCCCAGTCACAAACTTGAGGGGCATATCAAGATTTAAACATGCCATTGAAAAGTTCAATGAATCTCAAAAGATCTAAGAGTTTTCAATACATTTAAAACTTAATTCTCTTTTGTTTTTCATGGTGGAAATTAGTGAATCGTCATTCACTTACCTTCAAATTATTTGCAATTTAAATTACGGCATCCCTCTTTTAAGTTGTAAATAATGTTGTTGGATCCTAGCCCTAATGTCTCATTTGGGTGTTTAATTGGGGATTCTTATCTAATCAAACTTTGTCTCTTTTCTTTTCAGATGTCTAACTCGAACAACAACAATGCTTCAGGATCAACCTCTTCAGGCTCATTCTCACTCATGAATTTGTGTGGGAGGGTGATTTTCGATGGGACCAATTTCAATGATTGGATCCGCAACATTCGAATGGTTACCTGCTACGAGGACAAAGAATATGTCCTCGACAAGGAGCTGAAGGAGGTGAATGTGAACACTGTTACTCCAGAAGAGATCGTTGCCTTTGAGGCCCATGAGCATGATGCC